ATGATGGTGCTCTGTAACACCAAATCAAAACATATCAAAACATCAAATAAGGAAGTGTGCTGTGGAAGAATCGAACATGGCGGAGCAGGACAGCACTGAGATACTTTATGTTCTGTTTTCTTTTCATTTGCCACCTGCCTCTATATGCTCGTACTAACCGTCAGTGCTTCTTCTGTACATCAGCGTTTCTCCAGCGTTTCACACACACACACACACACACACACACACACACACACACACACACACACACACACACACACACACAAAAGCACGCAAAGACACCTCTTCTGTCTCTCAAATGTGGCCAAAACCCCTGAGGGACCAAAGCCATTTTTCATCTAATTACAGAAAACCTGCATGACTGGCTTTGAGGCAGCTTGTGAAAAGAGGGACGTAGTCTTTTCTTACACTGCACATACATCTAACCTGCAATCTTTAGCAAAGGTTTATTTCACTTTCAGTCACCGGTTCATGTTTGTTGCCACTTCTTTTGGTGGTTGAAATACGTTGACCTCAAATATCACTCACCTTCCCAAACGCTTCTCCTGTATAGAGCCTTGAAGCTAAACAGTTGATCCAGGAATTAACTAATAATCCAGCAAGCAGTTTAACCTAAGCACTTTGTTTTCTATATCTAAAACACCTTGTCTAGTCCCCATCTAAATCCTGCATGTCTTTCAGACTTACTGTTCATGCATGAGTTCACAATAGTGGTATTTTTCCATCATTGAAGCACACAAATATATCATCCATATGACCTAAGAGTGACAACTACAGTCTGCTTCAGAGGGGGACAGTACTAGAAAGGAATTTCCCCCCGGGACAGATCAGAACAGACTCGGTGAACTGACGCTGTCTTTGCGGGTGTGCAGCAAGTCTGCAGCAGCACTGGAAGAGGCAGCTCTGAGGTAATGTTTGTCTGCCTCTCTTGAAGATAAACCTGTCATTTGTGCACTGACAAACTTGACACATCCTTATCTTTTACTTTTTATTTCTTCTTGGGAAAATGGAATCTAACTTGATGAGATTAGGTTGGTTTCATCTACTGGGTCAAAGAACATGTCCTGACCGTGGAGCTCATAAAAAACATCTCCTCTTACTTAAATAATGGTAATTTAATAACTTAAATAGACAAAAAAGTGCTTTTATTACATACATTACAACTTAGAACATCTTGTTCGGATATATGATATGAGACATATTATCCTCTAACGTTAAGACTATCAAAATAGCTTCTGCAATTTTTATGTATAACTCCATCAAGAGCTGCTCTTCTCTGCCTTACGTGTAGCTGTTTTAGCTTGTTTGTTCCCCCGGGTTGTCTGTACATTGCCTTTAATAGTTTTTATGCTTCGCAGCACAACTGAGAAACATTTTATTTGCTGTTCGGACCTGTCTGGACCTCACTGTCCCAGTGGCTGATGATAAATTTACAACTAGCAGCATTCAGCTTTACTGCTGCAGCACAGTGGGTTGACATCATATTATCCTATGTAGCCCATGCCACCAGTGAGGACTCTATTGCAGATGCCACTGAGCAACAGGTGGAGTACACACTAGATAGGTTGCCAGCCAATCACTGGGCCAACACAGAAACACAGACAAACACAACTCTCACATTAATTAAGCATCTAACCAACATGCAGGCTGGAGCAGGCACGGAGGGAATATACAAATTCCACACAGAAAGATCCTGGCCAACCAGCAGGTCTGAACTCAGAACCACTGCATTACAGTGATATCCTTTTATAATCACTTTAATGTTATCAGTGGGACAGTTTTGCTGTGGTTAGCAGCACTGGTCCTGGGTTTAAGGTCCTAGGCCTTTCTCTCTGGAGTTTGCATGTTCTCTTTTTAGGCCTGCACGTGTTCTCTCACAGTCCAAAGACATGCTTTTTAATGGTGATTGCTGAACCGGTGAATAGTTGTCTGTCCTTAATTGTGATCCTGCAGTAGACTGGCGATCTATGCAGGTTGTACCTGATTTCTTTGCTCTATGACATCCCTGTGAATCTCTTTTTCAGATCATTGTTTTAGTTTTACAAAATAGAGCCTTAAGGTTTTGTGTCGTACTGCATAGAATAGCTTTATATCACTAAATTAGACTGTTGAAGCAAAATGAATAAATAAAAAATAAATAAATGTCTGGTGACTATTACATTTAAATTCATCAGCTTACTGCTCCAATAAGGTCCATAATATGGGAGGGGCTTTAAAGCAGCTGCTAGTTAGTTTGCCATCTAAAAAAGTGGTGTTGTCAGTGTTTACTGCTTGTTTTTGCTGCCCCCAAGTGCCTAATAAAATCTGTTATTGTGGTCCATTTTGGCATTTAGCCATTACTTCATGGCAGTTTTAACTCTTCAGTTTAAAAAGCAAGAAATTTTAAATAATAATAATAAGGTACAAATATTATAAATAAAGTAATTTTGACCCTGTATAATAGGTTGTTGTTGTACATGTAAACATCATATGACACCAATTAACATTTTTTCTGTTGACTCTCATCTTGAATTTTCAAAATGATCAAAGAAAACTTGTGCACTTTTCTTTTTCAGCACCTCCTAAGATCAGCCTGCATTTCACATCATTTTTAAATAACAACATTTTTCCAAACGCATCCTGATTCTCAGAGTCTGCTCTGGATCTGGAGAGAAAACATCATCTCAAGCACCATGAAGGACTACTTCCACCACTTTGTTCAGACGTCTCACTTTGTCACCAGACACCTAGCCTTTTGAAAAGCAGTGATTTATGATGGAACTGATCGCTGCGGCATCTGTGCCAGCTGACAATGCTTTTGTTCCCTCTTCAGGAGTCACAAGTGACATCAGATCATAGTCCAGATCCTGCTTTTATTCTTCCCCTTGTGGCAACTGTAGGAGATTTTAAAAAAAGGAGGAGACTCTACACAGAGCAGTTCTATCTCTGCATGTCCTACTAATATCAATGTCAGTGCATGACAAGGTCGTTTCTTTGCCTGCAAAAGAGCAAAAAGTCTAAAGACTTCCTGCCAAGAACCCTTCAGGGTGTCATTGTCTAGCACAGTATCATGACTCACTGTCCATCAGGCTTTCATTCGGGATTTAACTAGGCCAGGAGGAGACACTCGCTAATGAATGAAGCATCCAAGAAATGCCATTTGTACTGCTTGACCTCAGTACTGCAACAACAACAAGACCTAATATAACATTACAATAACCATAAATCAATGCACTGCAGGTATAAAGCCTCTTTAAAGTCATTAAAGGAGGGTGAAAGTGAGATTCGCTCCCCTTCGTTGCTCTCTTTATCCCCTGTCCCTTTTGTTCTATTCTTTATCTCATTACCATCACTGAAGCTGACCTCGGAGCATCCATCCCTGCCCTGCAGACAAACCTCTAACCCTGCGCTGAACTGTAGGATCATCCACCACTGTCACTGAGAAACCTCCACAACTCTGGGGTCATTTGGTTCACATTACCCCCGTTTTTCAATTAAAATTTTGGATTTGGACTGTAATCATGAATGTCCCGGCATTGTAATGGAAAATGTGATGAATGAACAAACTGACCTGAGATACCACCTGTCAGACATCAGGCCTTTACCTTGTTTACAGCCAACACTGGCTATTATTTACAGGGAGCCACACAGACATAAAACTCTCATACAAGTGGTTATTACAGTTCATGGCACTGTGTGCACAGTTAACCACATGCTATGGCCAGCTAGGGTCCCGTAGACACAGAGGTGGGACTCGAAAGGTTGGAGCAATGTTGAAAAATACCTTTCAAAGACTTCTCTGGAGCATGCATGTCAATCCAGCGGCGGGTAATGAAATAAAGATAACATGATTGAAAGGGTCTGTGGCACTGACTTCAAAACACTTTTGTCACCAGCATTGAGGGATACATATCAAAAGAAGTACTTTCAGGTATCTCTTTACCTCTTTTGGGTTGAAGGTGAGGGAGTTTCCATTTCTTGGCAAAGCATGAGTGGAGAGAGGGAGAAGATTAATGATATAATAGCTCTGACCACACGGTTTAGTTATTTAAACTGGCAGCATCAGCTCAAATTGTTTCATGGCTTTCTGCAATGATACATTTAGGAGCGTGTCTGGACAGGTTGCAATATGCTAGAGGAGAGAATTCATTGCAACTCTCTCTGAACTCAGCAAAGAGAGAGGAGCTTGGAAGCTATGACACCATTGCTAAAGTACACGCAGGATGTTTACGTCCCAGCAGCTTGTTTGCACACCTTTCTTTTCTTGTGACAGAAATTTTGAATTGAAATGTCAGGATCTAATTAAATGATTGCCTCGCTCCGTTACAAATTGATTTAAAAGGCGAGGCGAGCACTTTTAAGGAAAAATGTTTCCTCAGATGTGACTACAGGTGAGCTGCACTGTGAAACCAAGAAGAGAGAATTCAGTCAAAGTGAGGAGATAGCGTCTTCTCTTTGGAAGGGCAAAGAAAGGCTGTCAGGTGCTACCAGACCGGCTGACTGTCATGACGCTGGATGATGATCCGTGATATTTCCTAAGCGTCTCTGAGTCTTACGGGGTTGTAGTGAGTTTGGTGTTTTTGTTCAAAACAACCCAGGTCAGGATGCTTGAGACGTGGGAGGATTACTGTAAGCTCAGCTCAGGTGACGTCTTCTGTTGGGGGGGGCAGGCATGAGGGTCCTCTATAGCCCTGTTCCAAACCACTCCAAAACCAGGGGAAAAGTATCATATGGGGTTCTCAGATCATTTGGAGACACACCATTACACACCTTCAAAGACAGCTTTTGACATACTCCCTCAAAATTCTTATTACCCCGCGTCTCAGATGCACTTCTGTTCCATGATTAAATATTTCAAAAGCTTTGAAGGGCAGGTTAAGCGGGCTGGTATGTTCATTCATATCATTGTAAATGGGTGTCTCAAAATCCCCCAGGAGAGCTTAACCAGCCTGTATTCTTACCTTAATGCCACCGACAATACCCTGAAGCTATTTGAACACTGTGTTTACTTGTACAATCAGATAGACCATGGGAAGTCAGATAGACCCTGCGAGGGCCAGGATCTCTCTTGTGGGGAGTGGATTGTCGGCTATCTCGAGCTTCCATCTCAGAGTCTCAAACAGAGTTAAGAGAGTGCACGAGTGAGCTCGGCAACCATGCAGTATCTCTGGAATCACATAAAGACAACCTTGTGCTCTGCAATTTAGTGTGCAGCGCTCAGGTGCTTGTGCATGTCTCAACCAGAGGAAAAACAAAAGTATGACTGACATAATCATGTGTCAGAAGATTTATGGTCAGAGAGAGCAGAGGGGAGAGAAAAACTGGGAAGCGCATTTTCTTTCCCCACCTCCTCCTCCTCCACCTTCAAATTATTGTCTTTAGTGCCGTCCACTTGTTTGAGTGAAATGTTGGAAACTGTTGAAACAGAATTGACTCTCTGAGCCGCGAGTTAATGAAAGCCTTGATTGAACCGCTCTTTATCTGTGAAATTGAATAATTTCCTTGTTCATTGGTGGTATATTTTCACTAGTCATGCATCTTCTTTGTTTAGTGCGTAACCTGCTACAGACACGAAGACATACAGACAATCTAATCACTTTGTAAGCTGTGGGTTTGGGTTCATTATGCGAATTGGAGCAAAATCCTCAATTCAAGCGCCAGTTTCAACACATTTCTGCATCATCAAACAGATTTAAATTTTAGCCATAAATCTGATCACTGCTGTAGTCAAGCTTGATCTAATGATAAAACATAGAGCAGGATGGGTCTTGCTTAGATATATTTTAAAGGCTCGTTGCTGGCTTTGACGCTAATTGCTGGCTGGAGCTCAGTGCCGTGCTGCCCTGATCTATCGGGTCATGGGAGCAGATAGGGAAGCTGTGGCAGACCGCCAGCAATAACAAAGGGAGTGAGCCAGACTACTAACCATAAATCTGCAGCTACCACCAATTTCCAGCTCCCGCAGGTGATGGGTGAGCGTGTGTGTTTGTGTGTCTATGTGTGCGTGTTTATAAACAAAACTCCAAAGGGTAACACTACCCCACTTCAGAGCAACATGGATATTACACCTCTGAATATCTTGGCATGGGCCCGGTCCTGTTTATGGAGAAACACGGCTAAGAGTATAATTAGCAATTCAGTGATCCTGCAGGGTGTCTGACTTATCAAAGAAGGTGGTATTTTGTTCTTGTGACTCAACGAGTCTGAAGTGACTGTGGCCTCTGTGTGGTGGGGTTTTGCACCTGACTGGAAAACACTGCAGGTGGATTACCTGGAACAGTAGCTAAACTACACTGTTTGTTTTTAAAAAGGCGTGTTTTGATGTAAATAATAGCATCAAAGGCTTCACGGTGTAAATCTTCAAAATCCGCATTAGCAGAACCAAAGGGCACCTTGTAACTTTAGAGCGCCACATTCAAAGTATCCACACACAGCTGGGATTTTTGCCCCTGTCATTCATGTTCGATCGCTCCAAGTGAAAGTAAATGGGGGACGCGTATAAAAAGGTCTCGGAAACGCAACTGTTTTGTTCCTGAGATAGTGGGATGTGCGTCTTGCACACAAAACCCCTAGTTTAGTATTAACCAGAGCCTTCTGAGCAGCTGCCTTTTCTTATGCGTGAGTCTTTTGTATCAATATTATGAAAGCTGAAAGCCTTTGTCAGACAGAGACAAGCCCCTGTTATTATCCCTTCACGCCCTTTTCCCTTTATTCTAGGTAGATTATCACTGGCAATGACACATGATATGGCTAATCTACTGTAAATTAAACCTGAATTCTCATGTGTCTCCGTTGTTTTTTTTTTTCACAAAGGAGGTAGGGGAAAGAAAAAAAAGTTTTTTCACAGAGAACATGCCCATTTGGACAGTCTCTAATTTACAGCACCGCTGAAAATTTTGTCAGTCAGTCCTTGGAGGGTACTGGGAGCAGGTTTTCCATCAACACCTTCGGGGCCACCTCCTCACTCCACTTCCAGGCCAATAAGAGTGGAATCTGGAACGACTGTGGGCTTTTGCATCGTTAACATTTCCCTGACACGCTGGCCGGCCTCTCTTGGAGACTACCCTGCATTTTCTCTGCAGCGCTGGAGTTGTTGTAGCAACTGGTGGCCCAGAAGTGAATGAAGCAGATGTGCGAGTCATCTATCACCTGACAGCTCCCACTCCCCCGACTGAGCAAGTCATCACTGTGACAGTCCGCCCAAGCAGTCTCATCAATTACCCCTGTACCCTACCATTAGCGGACAAACACTTTTCTTCTGAGGCACATTCAGCTCCTTCCCAGTGTGCGAGATGGGCCCTCAATTGAGCCTGAATAACTTTCCCCTCTCAAAGAACATCTCTGTTTCTGCTGAGCATCGCACACATTGTGCTAATCCTGGATTTATCGCCATGGTAACTGCGTGATATTAACAAACATATTTATTTTGTGATAATTATGTCAAACTGTTATGTTTATCTGGATGAAGTAAAAGCACTACCAGTTAAGGGATTCTTTTTTTTATGAGCAATTAAAGTAATTAGAGCCATAAATGTTCAACGGCTTCACCGCATCACTTTTTATGGCAACAATATGACAGCTAGGCTTCCTTTTCTTTAATTTACAGTTACTGATAAATTCACTAAGACATGCTAACTCATTCTGAGACATATCACAACTGTTCAAGTGTGTTTTATCCACATAAAGCTATTTCAGAACATTTCTTTATGGCATAATCGATAAAAAACCGATGTGTGAACAAGAAATAAGGGAACTCGTGTCTTGTAAGTGTTATTCTTTTCCTGTATTCCATCAGTAGTAGTCATGAAATGCAGTAAACACAGACATTTGAACACTTATAAACAGTCTCTATCTCTTACAATATACAACTATGGCAGCGACAACAGGGGCCAACTTACATATATCAGCTTCTTTTTTTCACAGGGGTTTAAAAACAGACGTCGGTGTCAGAATGCGACCTTGAATATGCAAAATGTATAAATAAAACATTCATATAAAAATAGGCTTTTACAAAATATACTCTATTAACCAATGCTTACCAAACATGGAAAGTGTGCCTGTGGTTTTTGTTTGTTTGTTTGTTTGTTTTTGATCAATGATTCCAGTTAAGCTAAATCAGCTTGAAGTGAGGTGGAGGTGCCGCTGAAGACGGTCAGTACAGCATACAAGTGCAGCCTTCTACCTCACGTTTCTAGACTAGCAGCAAACAGAGGGAAGACGAACTCATGAGAAGGTCAGAAGGTCAATTTGAGCAGCCTACAGCATTTTCATCTGGAACAACATTAGTCTACAGCAATACGGATTATTCCAGACAGATTCAATTCCAGTGTCTTAACAATGAACAAGGTTGGATTTCTTTAATAAACTCATGACATTTAGTTTTTGTTTTTTTGTGTCCATATCGGACAAAATCAGTAGTTCTTTATAGAATAAATTAATATTAATTACTTTTCATTCTCTAAATACAAGTATGTTAAATATTCCAAATTGCTGCTTAATTTCATCTGTGCACAGGTGGCATTGGAACGACGGCAGTGTGTGCTGCCTGGCATAACGTCCACCATAATTTATCTGCATTGGCAAAGTCCAAGCAGTCAGCATGTTGGTACACGTCCATGTAGCTTAAAGTCTTGACATTTAATTTTAGAGACTCCCTTTGTGGTCACCCACTCGCATATGTCGGGCTACATTTTTTTCCCCTTTAACAGTGGTTGTCACAATGTTTTGCCACTACATCCCAACGAGCAGTCCAAGAAGAGGGGTGAAGAGCTTTTGTGCAAAAGAATCATGGCGCCTCATTTTTAGCTTACTGTATATGCAGTACAGTAGTTCCTCATGATGTGTGTAAAGACTGTAAAAGCAGCCTCTTTTTTTCTTGTAAAGGTTGTCCGTTAAAACACTAAAAACAAGACCGCTCACATGCATACATCTCACACACGCACGCACAGACTCACACACACACCATCCAATAAATATTCTCATTTGCATGTGTACACCTCTGTCCTCTCGCTGCATGTGTTGCATTTCACATAGCAGCACCACAGGAACTTGCAGTTGCACTGCCAGACCCGGGAGTACTGGTGTGTGTTGTATCCTCGACCGCAGCACATCAAGTCGCAGCCGCTGATGTGTTGCATCATTGTCTTGTTACACACCCTTCCCTGTGTCCCCAGGCTCCCCGTGACGGGGTCCGCCTCACAGTAGTTAGGAGACTTGTCTATGTACACCAGCTCTGTATCCGTGGGCTTTCGGTAAGAGTACGGCTTCTTGATCTTGAGGAATTTAGGGCGCTTGTTGCGGCTGGCTTTGACTGGTTCCACGTGTACGGCGTGGGCATATTTCTCCTTGAGAATGTAGCCGAGCTCGCGGAACTTGGGAAGTGTAGTCCAGCAGGTTTTGGTTGTGCAGGAGCCCGAGACACCATGACACTTGCATTCCAGTCGCATGTTCTTCTCCAGCACCTAGACACAGAAAAGCAGCTTAGTAAGGTAGTAAACACACTCCAGTGATGACTATTTTACAATCAGTTCCTGTACTATAATGATGACTTCACTGGTCATATTAAAATCAATCAGAATTTGTGTGTAATTAAAATTGAAACTATGCTTGCATATCCTTACATAAAACTGTTTCAATCCATACTTCAACTTCAGCGAAAAACGTGCAGCTTATTAAACAATGTGACTGACAAATACAGTACGGCTAGGGATTAAATACAGCCCCACCACATAACAGTGTGGTACCATATGCACAGAAGCCAAAATAATGTATCAGATTTCAGGCTCTGTGTGTGTAGTTACCACACACACCACACAAATGTCAAGAGTGACTCAACAAGGCGCCGAGTGACTGGGATTACGGCTAAAGCCTCAACTGATGACAATAAGAAGTGCCATTGACTAAACTACAGTTTTCTTTAGCAACAAGGTCAATTGCAGTTTCCGTTTTTTTCTGAAATGCTAGGTGTTTGGTATGCGATACGGTCTCCTAAAGCCATTCGTGAGAAATTTACCTGTCTGTGTTCTTGACAAGTAAACTGTAAGGAGTAAAAACCCAAATACAGACGTGTGAACAAGGACCAAAAAGAACAAGTTTTCCCTGAGCAAACCACTTCATAAAAACCTTGGCT